ATCCAGTGCTGTCTGATTTTTTTTTTCTTTAGCTAATTTCATTACAAGTTTGCAAGATGTTCTTTTTCCATGCTGTCTGGTTTGATTTAGCTCATCACTACATTAAAATGTTTAAAGGGTAGGATCTGAACTTTTCTTTTATTGTATTTATTTTTTTAGACAGAGTCTTGTTCTGTCACCCAGACTGGAGGCGTGATCTCGGCTCACTGAAACCTCTGTCTCTTGGGTTCAAGTGATTTTCCTGTCTCAGTCTCCCAAGTAGCTAGGATTACAGGCATGTGTCACCACACCTGGCTAATTTTTGTATTTTTAGGAAAGATGGGGTTTCACCATGTTGGCCAGGCTGGTCTTGAACTCCTGACCTCAGGTGATCCACCTGCCTTTGCCTCCCAAAGTGCTGGGATTATAAGGCGTGAGCCACTGCACCCAGCTGGATCTGAACTTTTAAAGAGCTCCGAAACTGTATCTGAAGGTTTTAGGAGAATTCACCTGTGAAATGTGTTCCTGGTAATTTCTCTACATTTTTAAAATCAGTTATTTGAGATTTTCTATCTACCCTGGGGCCTATTTTAATTAACCTTTAACCAAATATATTTGCACTGAAATGATGCAATTACTTTTTATAATTCTTAACCTCTTTGTACCTATCGTTGCTCTCTTTTTTCTTCTTTTGACATTGCTGCTTTCTCCCTTTTTTTCTTGTTAGATCAGTTTATTAGTCAGGTTATTGCTTACTGTAAGGTCTGATCTAATAAGAAAAAAAAGGGAGAGCTCAGCTTTCAGTCTGTTCTATGAATGTCAGCTGAGCTTTCAATGTGTTCTATGAATGTCATTTCGGGATCCACACATAAAGCAGCAACTACCTGGGAAGAGTTCTCATGGCAGGAGTTTAAGAGGGCAAGAAAAATTACACAAGAACACTGAAGGCCTCTGGTCAGACATGTCATATTATGACCATTCACCTTCCATATGACCAGGCCCAACATTAGTGTAACAGGAAAGAATACGCTACCCACTGTCAACTATAGCAAGGGCATGAAGGGAAGAAGAAGAGTTATGAAAAAATAATACAATCTACCAAAATTAAGCTAATGGTTTCTCTATTTCATTATTCTCAGGTTCAAAGTACCAGTGCTAGGCTTATTTATGAGTTCTACCATTTTCCTATGTTCTATTTCATTATTTTCTGCTTTCCATGCAATAAATTCTTTCCTTACTCTTTTCCCCTAACTTCTTCACTTGGCTACTTACTTTTAATTAAAAATTTCTTATAAGTACTGCTTTAGCTGTTTTTCAAATACTCTGATATGTAGCATTTCCATGACTTAAATTACTACTGAGGCCAGGTGTGGTGGCTCATGCCTGTAATCCCAGCACTTTGGGAGGCCAAGGTGGGTGGATCACTTGCGGTCAGGAGTTCAAGACCAGCTTGGCCAATGTGGCAAAACCCCATCTCCAGTAAAAACATAAAATTAGCCAGCCTTGGTAACATGCGCCTGTCATCCCAGCTACTTGGGAGGCTGAGGCAGGAGAATAGCTTGAACCTTAGAGGTGGAGGTTGCAGTGAACCGAGATCGTGCCACTACACTCCAGCCTGGGCAACAGAATAAGACTATGTCTAAAAAAAAAAAAATTATTATTGAGTGCTAGAGTTTACTTTGTAACTAATGTACAAACCTTAATGTTCAATTTCCTTAATCTCTGACCATGTCTGATAATAAAATTAGTTAGTGTACTTCTTCTTCCTACTCCCTCCTCCTTCCTCACCAAGCCAACTTTATCTTTTACTGTTGATTTTGTACTGTTATTTATTTATATCTTTATTACTTAATTTTTCAGGGTTTTTTTTTTTTTTTGAGACAGAGTCTTGCTGTTGTCACCTGGGCTGGAGTGCAATGGCTTGATCTCAGCTTACTGCAACCTCCACCTCCTGGATTCCAGCAATTCTCCTGCCTTGGCCTCCCAAGTAGCTGGGATTACAGATACCCACCACCAAGCCCAGCTATTTCTTTTTATATTTTTAGTAGAGACGGGATTTCACCATGTTGGCCAGGCTGGTCTCAAATTCCGGACTTCAGGCGATCCACCCTCCTCAGCCTCCCCAAGTGCTGAGATTACAGGCGTGAGCCACTGCACCTGGCCAATTTTTCAGGTTTTATATGACATCTTTTGATACTCTACCTCCTGGGTATCAGTATGAAGAAAACCATATTCTTACATGAACTCTTCTTTCTTCCACCAACTTTTGCCAGTTGTTATTTATATTAACAAGCTTTTTTTTTTGAGATGAGGTCTTGCTCTGTTGCACATGTTAAAAAGTTCAGGGGGACTCTCCATATAGGCCAGCCACAGTAACATTTACATTCTATTGTACCACCATAATTCTCTTCGATGCTTTCATTTTAATGTTATAAACAGAAGATCTAATGCCTACTGCCAATCCTTTTGCTACAGCTTTTCCAGTCATTGTGGGTGGAAGAAATCTGTTAGGTTTCTTCAGAAGTCATGAGCACCATATGCCCCAGTACTTTTATGTTCAAAATGTCTGCTGCCCTTATATTTGAACCATAAAGTTTGGGGCTGGGCACAGAGGCTCACATCTATAATCCCGGCACACTGAGAGACTGAGGTGGCAGAATTGCTTGAGGCCAGGAGTTCAAGACCACCCTGGGCAACACAGCAAGACCCCATCTCTACAAAAACATAAAAAATTAGCCATGAGTGGTGATGCATGCCTGTAGTCCCAGCTACTCAGGAGGCTGAGGTGCAAGGATCACTCGAGTTCAGGAGTTCAAGGCTGTAGAGAGCTATGATCACCACTGTACTCCAGCTTGGGCAACAGAGTAAGACCCTGTCTCTAAAAATAAAAATAAATAAAATTTGGGTGTTATATTTTTGTTCTTGAGGATTTTATTATAGGTGTGTTGCTTCATTTTTTTTCTGCCATGGAGAAACTCAAGACCACCCTGAATTCTTCTACTTCACCTGTGCCTAGATGCCAAAGCATTTTGTTTTTTGGGGGTAGCTGGAGCTTGGGGAGAAGTCTAGTAACTTTATTAGAATATGTCTCAGCAATATTTTCTGGGGCATGGCATGCCCTTTTCTTTTCTTTTTTGAGATGGAGTCTTGCTCTGTTGCCCAGGCTGGAGTATAGGGGCATAATCTCGGCTCATCGCAACCTGCACCTCCCGGGTTCAAGCGATTCTCCTGCCTCAGCCTCCTGAGTAGTTAAGATTACAGGTGAGTGCCACTGCGCCTGGCTAATTTTTGTATTTTTAGCAGAAACAGAGTTTCATCATGTTGGCCAGACTGGTCTTGAACTCCTGAACTCAGATGATCTGCCCGTCTCAGACTCCCAAAGTGCTAGGATTATAGGCATCAGCCAAAGTGACTGGTCTGCCCTTTTCAATATGTAGATTCAAAACCTTCTGTTCTTTCGAGGAAATATAATTTTTGAAACTGTATCTTTTCCTTTCCTTATTCTTTTATTTTTTCAGTATGCCCACTCAAAGGGCCTAAAACCAATGTCTCCACAGAAGCAAGAAACATACTTAATGCCCAGATTTTGTTTGATAATTGTACCGAAACTCCTTGGAGAAATGGCTAATTCTAAGTAATTCCATGACCATGCATATCTATCCATGGCCACAGACAGACACTACTGACCTGCTTAACTAGAATACAGAGTCCTAAAGCTTTAGTTCTGCTTGTTGCTCTTCATTGCAAATGTCCCCTCACATCTTTATTTATTTATTTATTTAGTTAGTTAGTTAGTTATTTTTAAGATGGGGTTTTACCATGATGGCCAGGCTGGTCTTGAACTACTGACCTCAGGTAATCTACCCACCTCGGCCTCCCAAAGTGCTAGGATTACAGGCGTGAGCCACTGCGCCTGGCCTCCCCTCACATCTTGATATAGACAGGCCACGTATTTTTGTAAAGTTTCCTTAGAACACAGACATACCATTTGTTTAAACACTGTCTAGGGCTGTTTTCATGCTACTATGGCATTGTCAAGTAGTTGCCACTGAGACCATAAGGCATACAAAGGCTAAAATATTGCTAACTAGAGTTTCACAGAAAAAGTCTGCCATCTTTGCTCTAATCCTTGATTCCTTTAAGCTATAATCTCATCTTTTATCATTTCATGCCAGAGAAAGCCTTCTGCATTGTTTTTCTAAAGTCCAGTCCAACAGAAAGAATGCCTTTAGGTGAAAACCTAAACCCAGGGCCAGGAAGGAGGTCTTGGTTTTGCCTCAGGTGAGGTCACCTCAGAGTGGAAGAGGGAGTACTGTCACTTTGCCAGGCTCCCTTATACCCCCCAAGGAATTCAAGACAATAATCAAGAAAGAAATTGCTCTATTTTTGGACTAAAGAAAACTAAAATATACTTTGCATTTCTTCAAATTAAAGATCATTAGCAGGTAACTGAGCTGGATATAATATTAATATTTAAAAGTTACTGTTTGGCTCCTTACTTCTGAAAGCAAACTTTCCAGAGACATAGGATCCATCTTGTTGTAGATATTCCATAGATTCAAACTGACATCCTGCAACTGCAACAGGGGGCAAAAACAATGAAATAATTAAGTCAATATCATTGGAACAATCAGAATTATTTTTTGACGTTCACAAATGACTCTTTTGGTATAAACTAGTGTGAACAGAATAATAAATCAAAGTTTTATCAATTATATTAGCACCTATACCTATTAATAAATGTTCTCCCATAAAAGGAAACTATTTTCTCAGAACCTTTGGTACTAATTATCTTCAATAATGGGCACATATATATTTATACACACACACATGCACACATACATAGACTTGTATGTTGTATATTTTTGCCATTGTTTTAAATAAAATTTTAATCAAAATAATCCATATCCATGGCTTTAAAAATCAAATGGCACAAAAGGCTTATAATAAAAAAACGTTATTCCCAGCTCCAACCTTTCACAAACCCCCGCTAGTCTCACTCCTCATAAGCAAGCACTTAGGTGCTCCCTTCAGCAGTACCTATACTAAAATTGGAAGGATACAGAGAAGATTAACATGGCCCCTGCGCAAGGACAACATGCAAATTTGTGAAGTATTCCACATTTTCAGAGAACATTTTTTTAAAAAAGAAGCAACCAGTTAGAATTCATTTAACATTTTCTTTCTGGCATTTACCCCCAATTTTGATATAATATGCTTCTATCACTAGTTATCAATTTAGAAATTAAATATTGATTTCTGTCAAAGATGTAGTTCTTCTACACCCATTCCTATTCCTAAACTGTTTCTTTCTCAAACTCTTGGGCTCAAGGAATCTACCCGCCCCCTGCCCCTGTCTCCCAGAGTGTTGAGATTACAGGTGTGAGCCACTATGCCCAGCCCCAAAACTGTTTACACATACATATCCTAACATCATTTAATATCATAATATGACTTTCTTGGTTTATTAATACTTTTTTTTTTTTTTTTGAGACGGAGTTTCACTCTTGTTACCCAGGCTGGAGTGCAATGGCGCGATCTCGGCTCACTGCAACCTCCGCCTCCTGGGCTCAGGCAATTCTCCTGCCTCAGCCTCCTAAGTAGCTGGGATTACAGGCACGAGCCACCACGCCCAGCTAGTTTTTTGGTATTTTTAGTAGAGACGGTGCTTCACCATGTCGACCAGGATGGTCTCGATCTCTTGACCTCGTGATCCACCAGCCTCGGCCTCCCAAAGTGCTGGGATTACAGGCTTGAGCCACCAGGCCCGGCCTTATTAATACTTTTTAAACACAATGAATTGTATTTGTTTCTGTATGCATCTACACATCAGCATTTAGCGGTCCTAAACAGAAAGTAGAAAGATGCAGCAATTTGCCAGGTCAATCCTGCCCATTTTGGGGATCTGCCGTGCATACCAGGTTCTTTCTTAATCCCTGATGAGGATTTTTTTTTTTTTTTTTTTTGAGACAAGTCTCTCTCTATCCCCCACAGGCTGGAATGCAGTGGCGCAATCTCGGCTCACTGCAACCTCTGCCTCCTGGGTTCAGGAGATTCTTCTGCCTCAGCCTCCTAAGTAGTTGGGATTACAGGCGTGCACCACCACACCCAGCTAACTTTTGTATTTTTAGCAGAGATGGGGTTTCACCACGTTGGTCAGGCTGGTCTCAAACTCCTGACCTCATGATTCGCCCTCCATGGCCTCCCAAAGTGCTGAGATTATAGACGTGAGCTACCACTCCCGGCCTGCTACAGATTTTGAGAAGCAGCAGCAGCACGAAAACCAAGGTGTGCACTGGATTCAAGGTTATTTTGTTCTAGTTGTTGAATTCCAAACTAGACCCCAATACATTGCAGTGATGACCAAATTAAAGCTCTGTTTAAAACTTCAATTTTTAAAAGGAAAAGCAATTACAGAAAAGTAAAATAATTCAGAGGGATTATTTGTGCTTATAAGTGTCTTTATGTGGTCTTTCTCCAAGTTTAACCACCAAGGACTCTGACAGCTGGCTGGTATGAGTAACCTGGTAACTATTCTTTTTACCTTATCAAAACCTGAGCTAAAAACAATGCACAGCTGACAACAGCAGAGGATGGCAGGGTTAAGGACCCAATATTCATTTCCAAGGCTGATGGAGAGTGAATAAGCACGGTTCCAAAACTAAACAAGGAAGGTCAGAGACTCTTTACAACCTTAACTGATGGCTTCTGGCCTAAGCAAGGAAATGTCATGGAAGGTGTTGGGTGGTGGTGGTGCAAAAAGGCACTTGAGGAGGGAATAAAAAGCAGCACCCCTCGATAAAGGTGAAGGAGAGAAGATATGGGGAAATCCCTGAATTCCTCATCAAAGGCCAATCTCAGAGGGAAGCAAAGGGTTACAATCTATGCTTCAGCCAAGGGAAGGAGTGAAGGAGCGTGAGGACAGGATAATGGCTTAGAAGGGACATCAGTCTCCTGAGTAGCTGGGATTACAGGTGGGTACCACCACACCCAGCTAATTTTTGTATTTTTAGTAGAGATGGGGCTTTGCCATGTTGGCCAGGCTAGTCTAGAACTCCTGACCTCAGGTGATCCGCCTATCTCAGCCTCCCAAAATGCTGGGATTACAGGTGTGAGCCACCGAGCCTGACCTTGATAACTAGCATTTTACCCACAGTAGAACTTCTTTCAAAATGGGAGTCAATCTTCTCAAACCATGCCACTGCTTTATTAACTAAGTCTGCAGAATATTCTAAGTCCTTTACTGACATTTCAACAATGTTCACAGCATCTTCACCAGGAGTAGATTCCATCTCAAGAAACAAATTTCTTTACTCATCCATAAGAAGCAACTCCCCATCCATTAAAGTTTTTAACATGGGATTGCAGCAAGTCAGTCACATCTTCAGGCTCCACTTCTAATTCTGTTGCAGGAATCAGAAGGCCAGAGAGACTAATGGGTACAACGGAGGATTTTTTCTAGGTGCACTGGCTTAGTGGATTAGCATCTAAAAAACTGCGCCTCGAACAAAGACAGGGCTTGACTTTTTTTTTTTTTGAAACGGAGTTTCGCTCTTGTTACCCAGGCTGGAGTGCAATGGCGCGATCTCGGCTCACCGTAACCTCCGCCTCCTGGGTTCAGGCAATTCTCCTGCCTCAGCCTCCTGAGTAGCTGGGATTACAGGCACGCACCACCATGCCCAGCTAATTTTTTGTATTTTTAGTAGAGACAGGGTTTCACCATGTTGACCAGGATGGTCTTGATCTCTTGACCTCGTGATCCACCCGCCTCCGCCTCCCAAAGTGCTGGGATTACAGGCGTGAGCCACTGCGCCCAGCCTGACTTTTATACATGAAGCACAGTGGCGTGAAAACAGACTTGCAGGTGCAGAACAAAGGCAGTTTATCTAGCAATGACAGGCACATAACTCAGGCTTACATATGTCTTTTGCTATGCAGCCTAGCTGGCCGTTATCAAAGTTGCTCAAGGAGCCTTGCACATGCTTATCTTGTGCCCTACGCTATGGTACCTAGATGGCTGAAGTCCAGGCCTGCTTAGGTATTTCTCATGACTTTCGTTGTATTGCTTAGATGAGAGACAGAAACTCATAGTTATCACTTACAGAGAACAAGAATCCATAAACTCATAAAACTTACAGAACAGAGTAAAGGGTAAGGGCTCAGGAAGTTTGCTTATACTAAAGAAAAGAAGAAAGATTTGTTTTTCTGTTCCCATCTCCTGCTTCCATTTTAGTTTTCTTGCTATTTCTACCAAATCTCCAGTGACTCCCTCCATTGAAATCCTGAACCCCTCAAAGTCATTCATGAGAGCTGGAATCCATTTCTTGCAAGCTCCTGTTAATGTTGATATTCTGACATCCTCCTATAAATCATGAATGTTCTTAAAGTCATCTAGATTGGTGAATCTTTTCAAGAAGGCTTTCAGGGTTTTTTTTTTGCCCAGACCCATCGGAAGAATCATTATCTATGGCAGCTATTGCTTAACAAAATGTATTTCTTAAATAATAAGCCTTAAAAGTTGAAATTACTCCTTGATCTATGGGCTGCAGAATGGATGTTGTGTTAGCAGGCATGAAAACAACATTAAACCTCTTGTACACCTCCATTAGAGCTTCATTGGGTGTCTAGGCACACTGTTAATGAGCAGTAATATTTGAAAGAAACCTTTTTTTTCTGAGCAGGTCTCAACAGTGGGCTTAAAATATTCAGTAAGCCATGCTGTAAACAGATGTGCTATCATCCAGGCTTTGGTGATCCATTTTAAGAGCACAGAGTAGATTCAGCACAATCCCTAAGGGCCCTTGGAGTTCCAGAATGGTAAATAAGCATTGGCTTCAAATTAAAGTCACCAGCTGCATTGGCCCCCAAGAGAGTCAGACTGTCCTCTAAAGCCAGATACTTATTTCACCCTATTTATCAAAGTCCCAGAGGCCGGGCGCTATGGATCACACAGGTAATCCCAGCACTTTGGGCGGTCAAGGTGGGAAGATCACTTGAGCCTAGGAGTTTAAGACCAGCCCTGACAACACAATGAGACCACATTTCTACAAAAAATAAAGAAGTTCCAGGGAATGGTGGCTCACGCCTATAATCCCAGAACTTTGAGAGACTGACGTGGGTGGATCACCTAAGGTTGGGAATTTGAGACCAGCCTAACATGGAGAAACCCTGTCTCTACTAAAAATACAAAGAAAAAAAGTAGACAGGCCCATGTGGTGGTGCATGCCTATAATCCCAGCTACTTGGGAGCTGAGGCAGGAGAATTGCTTGAACTTGGGAGGTAGAGGTTGCAGTGAGCTGAGATCGTTCCATTGCACTCCAGCCTAGGCAACAAGAGTGAAACTGTCTCAAGAATAAAAAAGTTAGCTGGGCATGATGGTGTACCCCTGCAGTCGTAGCTAGCTGGGAGGCTGAAGTGGGAGGATGGCTTGAGTTTGGGAGGTCAAGCCTGCAGTGAGCTGTGATCACACCACCGTACTCCAGCCTGGCCGACATGGTGAGACTGTCCCAAAAATAAAGAAAAAAAAGTCCTAGATGGTATCACCCTCTTACACAAGGCTCTTCTGTCAACACTGACAATCTGTTGTTTACTGTAGCCACCTTCATAAACTATCTTAAGTAGATCTTCTAAATAACTTGCTGCAGCTTCTTGAACTTTTACGTTATAGAGACAGCTTTTTTCCTAAACCTCATAAACTAACCTCTGCTAGCTTTAAACTTTTCTTCTGCAGCTTCCTCACCATTCTCAGCCTTCATATTAAAGAAAGTTGGGGCTTTGCTCTGGATTAGGCTTTGGTTTAAGGGAATGTTATGGTTGGTTTGATCTTTTATCCAGACCACTCAAGCTTTCTCCGTATCAGCAATAAAGCTGTTTCACTTTCTTATAGTTTATGTTCACTGAAGTAATGCTTTCAGTTCCCTTCAAGAACTTTGCCTTTGCATTTACAACTTAGCTAACTGTTTGATGCAAGAGGTCTAGCTTTCAGCTTGTCTTGGCTTTCAACATGCCTCCCTTACTAAGCTTAACCATTTCCAGCCTTTGATTTAGAATGAGAAAATTGTGACTATTCCTTTCCCTTGAGCCACTGTCGGGTTATTAATTGGCCTAATTTCAATATTGTTGTGGTC